TTCTTCAAAAATTTCATTGTCATAAGAGACAAAGACAAGCTGAGAAACTGTTTAGATTACAGGAGATCGGAGTCCTTGACAACTAAGTGCAGCACATGATGTATTTTTATTGGAGCAGGAAAAATTGCCAAGAAGGACAGCATTGGGCTAACTGACCAAACAGAATATGGCCCATACCAATCTTAATATTCCTGAATTCACTTTTCCTGGATAGACCTATGAACTCTCATGAGATTCTAGTGTCCTATGAAACACAGTTTGGGGAATGTATAAAGCAAGCTCAAATCTTTGCAATGCATACTATTGGGTCTTAGAAGCCATTTTTTAGTCTAGTGAATTTTGTAAGGGGTGATGGCCCTTGCAGGAATACTCTGAGTATATCTTGATTTCTTTTTTTGAACTTTAGGAACTGGTGCCGCAAAGACAGCGCTGAGACTGAGGGCAGGTTTGTCCTCAGCAGATCTTTGAGGAAAGGTCTGATAGCAAACATTGAGGGTATATGGACTCGGAAAAAATTTTAATTAATAAAATTTGTTCAGTTCAATTTAGTTCAGTTCAGTCGCTCAGTCATGTCCGACTCTTTGTGACCCCATGGACTGCAGCATGCCAGGCTCCCCTGTCCATCACCAACTCCCAAAACTTGCTCAAACTCCTGCCCATCAAGTCAGTGATACCATCCAACCATCTCATCCTCTGTCATCCCCTTCTCCTCCCATCTTCAATCTTTTCCAGCATCAGGATCTTTTCAAATAAGTCAGTTCTATGCCAAAGTATTGGAGTTTCAGCTTCAGCATCAGTCCTCCCAATGAACACCCAGGACTGATCTCCTTTAGGATGGACTGATTGGATCTCCTTGCAGTCGAAGGGACTCTCAAGAGTCTTCTCTAACACCAAAGTTCAAAAGCATCAAGGGTTCAGCCCTCTGCCTTCTTTATAGTCCAACTCTCACATCCATACATGACTACTGGAAAAACCATAGCTTTGAATAGATGGATCTTTGTTGGCAAAGTAATGTCTCTGCTTTATAATAAGCTGTCTAGGTTGGTCATAGCTTTTCTTCCTAGGAGCAAGCATCTTTTAATTTCATGGCTGCAGTCACCATCTGCAGTGATTTTGGAGCCCCCAAAAGAAAGTCTCTCACTGTTTCCATTGTTTCCCCATCTATTTGCCAAGAAGACCAGATGCCATGACTTTAGGTTTCTGAATGTTAAGTAAAATAATATAAAAAAAGTTGACAAAGTTGGTGTAAAAGTAGCTCAATTAAGAGCATAGAAAAGCAAATTTCTGGTGGACAGGTAAATCAAAACCCTTTGGTAGAACGTCAATAAAAATTAAGAAGTATAAAATATCTATGCTTTACCTACCAGCAGTTTAACTTTTAGAAATTTGTATCAGCAAATAACTTAAGGAAAGGAAAAAGTTTTTTATAAGAATATTCAGAATTATTGATACTAACAAAAAACTGCAAATCTACCAGTGTTCTTTTGCGTAGTAAATGTCCTGACCAGCCATAGACAGAACGTTGGTCTAAAGCTGGACCCCTCCATCTCCTTCACCCCCCACATCTGTGCACCTCCCAGGCCTATCATTTCTACTCTCCATAAATCTGTATCAGATCCATCCATGTCATTCCATTCTCACTACACCCGCCGAGTCCGGGCTGCCACCGTCCCTACCTGGTCTGCTGCAGCCATCTCCTTGAGCGACCTCCCTGCTTATCTCTCTGCCGTCCCGCCCGTTCTCCATGCTTGCGGAGCAGCCCTCCTAGACTGACAGTCTGATGATCTCTGCCGTCCGGCCCGTTCTCCATGCTGCGGAGCAGCCCTCCTAGACTGACAATCTGATGATCTCTGCCGTCCGGCCCGTTGTCCATGCTGCGGAGCAGCCCTCCTAGACTGACAGTCTGATGATCTCTGCCGTCCGGTCTGTTCTCCGTGCTGCGGAGCAGCCCTCCTAGACTGACAGTCTGATGATCTCTGCTGTCCGGCCCGTTCTCCGTGCTGCGGAGCAGACCTCCTAGACTGACAGTCTGATGATCTCTGCCGTCCGGCCCGTTCTCTGTGCTGCGGAGCAGCCCTCCTAGACTGACAGTCTGATGATCTCTGCCGTCCGGCCCGTTCTCCATGCTGCGGAGCAGCCCTCCTAGACTGACAATCTGATGATCTCTGCCGTCCGGTCTGTTCTCCATGCTGCGGAGCAGCCCTCCTAGACTGACAGTCTGATGATCTCTGCCGTCCGGTCTGTTCTCCATGCTGCGGAGCAGCCCTCCTAGACTGACAATCTGATGATCTCTGCCGTCCGGCCCGTTGTCCATGCTGCGGAGCAGCCCTCCTAGACTGACAGTCTGATGATCTCTGCCGTCCGGTCTGTTCTCCGTGCTGCGGAGCAGCCCTCCTAGACTGACAGTCTGATGATCTCTGCTGTCCGGCCCGTTCTCCGTGCTGCGGAGCAGACCTCCTAGACTGACAGTCTGATGATCTCTGCCGTCCGGTCCGTTCTCTGTGCTGCGGAGCAGCCCTCCTAGACTGACAGTCATGATCTCTGCCGTCCGACCCATTCTCCGTACTGCACTGCGGAGCAGCCCTCCTAGACTGACAATCTGATGATCTCTGCCGTCTGGCCCGTTCTCCGTGCTGCGGAGCAGCCCTCCTAGACTGACAGTCTGATGATGTCCTTCTCCCTGCTTGAAAACCCTTAACTGCCCTCAGGGTGCAGCTCGAATTCCTTACCATGACTTTCCACACCCATTGCCCAGGGATCAGGAACTCCTCGCAGTTCCCCAAAATGTGTCAGATTTTGTCTTACCTTCAGAACTTTCCATGTACTCTGCCCCCTGCTTGAGTCAGTCTTCCCTGCCTCTTGGTACTTTTTGAGGCAGGCATCTGCATATATTACCTTTGCTTCCTCACACCTCACTCACAGTCCAATCTGGATTCTGTTCTCATTAGTGCCCTAGCGCTTCCCTCAACTAGGTCCTCAATAAAAGAAAAAGAAAAACAAGAAAAGGAAAGGGAGAACTTTCTAAAAATTCATATATTGCATTAGCAGGCACAGTGCTCAACATTTCACAAATATTAAGTCATTTTTCGTTCAAACAGCTCCGTGTCCTCCATAACAGCAAAAGGTATCGAAAGGAACAAGATATCTATTCTTTACTTTTCTTCCTGTTTTTCTGGCAAATTCTTCGTTTTTCCTTTACTGATTTATCCTTCTTTACACAACCAAAGTTCCTCAGGACTCTGTCATCAGTCCTTTTCCCTTCTCACTCCATAAAGCCTCCCTGGGTGATCTCAGTCTCTCCCAAGGCAATTACTGTGTACAAGGAGAGGACTTTTTAACCTATTTTCTCAACTCTAGTCCTGATTATATAACTATCTAGCTGTCACTGCTGCTTGGGGCATCTCAGACTCACCATCAAAACCTGAGCTCACCATCTCGTCACCCCCCAGTCACCCCTGCTCCCCCACTATAAATGGCAGACACGTCTCAGGTGTCCAGACTAGAAACCCAGGAGTCATCGTCGGCTCTTCCCCTTCCCTCTTTGTCCTGTATCCTTTCAATTTCTATTATCTCACAAATTCTGCCTCCTAAGTCTTTGTCATACCCAACTCCTTCATCCTTACTAACATCATCCTGGTGTAAGCCGGCTCCATCTTCAGCCTTCAGTACTTCAGTCTACCTCCACCCCGGGCACACGCTCCCCAGTCTACTCTCTACATACCAGCCTGAATTACCTTTCAAAAAACAGTGCATTTAAATCTGGGCTATGCCATTTATTGACTGTGTACTCCTGGGCATATCACTCAACCATCCTAATTCTTGACTGACTTATCTATAAAATTATAATGTATTAATTATAATGTATTAATGTATTATTAATACATTGTATTATATAATGTATAATGTATTATTAATAATGTATTAATAAATGATAGGTATTAGTATTTAAGGGAGATGATCTAGAGAAAGTGAGAGAATGGCACACTCTAATAAACTGTGCATGGGAGTCTAAATAGTCATACAAATTTTAAAATAAATAGCAATAAAGAACTCTCAGTACTACATCATTATATCTCATTTGAAATAAAAAATGAGTTAGTCTATATTTTACAACTTTAATAGGGAAAAGTTCTCAGAAAACAATTTAAAAGGTGCTTTTAGCAGATGAGACCATATAAAAACATTAAACTGACGTGATGGTTAGTTTTATGTGTCAGCTCAGCTAGGCTGTGGTGGCCAGTTGTTAGGTCAAATACTAGCCTAAAAGTTGCTTTGAATGTACTTTGTAGTTGTGATTAACATTTATGATCAGTAGACTTTGAATAAAGGAGGTTACCTTCAACAATATGAGTAGGCCTCATACAGAACAAAAGGCTGAGGTTCCAGTAAAGAAGGGGGACTGTGACATAGAGACTCTGCTTGCGTTTTCAGCTGGCCCACCCACCCTATGGATTTCAGACTTGTCAGCCCCCACAATTGTGTGAGCCAATTCCTTAAATAAATCCTTCTCTTTCTCTATGTATATATCCAACTGGTTCTGTTTTGGAGAACCCTAACTGACACACTCACAGAGGAATCTTTTAATGATAAAGTGGAACAGCAGTTACCAGATGACAATTCTAAGTAACTTCAGGTAAAGATTGCATAATGTGGTAGAAAATAACCCTAATAAATTTGGTCACATAATCTGTACATAGATAAACTTTAAAGAATAAAGAAACTGTCTATGAAACAAGACTTAAATTATGCACCTGCTGTGGGAAAGCCACCTTCAGGGAGTCTCGGGTTGTTTGTGGAGCAGGCACGGGTAACAGAGGAATGGTAATCCCATGCTCGCACACGTGGGCACCTATGCGAAGATGTTTGTTGAACTTTTACTCCAGGCGGTGTTGTATGTATCTAGAGCACACAACTAAGCCAGACATTCTCAGAGCTGCTATTCCACTTTTATCTGTGAGAAGCAGTGGGTCAGCTTTGGTGGCCAGTACATTGCAGCTTACCTGTACAAGGTTGTTGATGGATGCATCGTGAAATCCCAGGGCCTGCTCTGCAGCTGCCAGTTCCCTCAGTATTGGTACACACTCAAGACTTTTTTCACCTCTACTGATCTCAGTATATTCTAAAGCCTCTTGGTAGTGGGGCAGAGCTTCTTTTGATTTCTTCTGACCTTGATATACCCTAGAAAACAAAAGGATTATTTTTTAAATAATTAAAATGGAAGATACTGAAAATAAAAGATGGATTTGACTTTCTGACTCCTGTTCCCCAGGTTCATTTCCTAGGCAGCTAAGCCTTTCTTTCCTCCAAGGAGCAGCAGGGCATAGCGGTTTAGAGGACAAACATTGGGGTAATCAGGAAGATTGAAATCCTGACTCTATGACTTATTAGGTGTAGGACCTTCAGGTTACTCGACAGTTTTCTCACCTGTAAGTTAACAAAAGGTATCTTAAAAAGAAAAGAAAAAGCAATGCTAAAAGAAAAGCTATGACAAACCTAGACAGTGTACTCAAAAGCAGAGACATCACTTTGCCAACAAAGATCCATATAGTCAAAGCTATAGCTTTTCCAGTAGTCATGTACAGATGTGAGAGCTGAACCATAAAGAAGGCTCAGAGCTAGAAAAAACTGATACTTTTGAACTGTGGTGTTGGAGAAGACTCTTGAGAGTTCCTTGGACAGGAAGGAGATCAAAAGAGTCAATCCTAAAGGAAATCAACCCCGAATATACACTGAAAGGACTGCTGCTGAAGCTGAAGCTCCAATACTTTGGCTATCTGATGCAGATAGCCAACTCACTGGAAAAGACCCTCACTGGGAAAGATTGAGGGCAGTAGGAGAAGGGGGTGACAGAGGATGAGACGGTTGGATGGCATCACTGACTCAATGGACACGAGTATGAGCAAACTCCAAAAAACAGTAAGGGACAGAGAAGCCTGGCATACTGCAGTCCATGGAGTTGCAAAGAGTTGGACTGACTTAGTGACTAAACAACAACAAGTTAATGATAATAACAGTGCCTGCTTCACTGCATTGCTATGAAGATTAAATTAAAGTGGTTAATATTAATAAAAAGAACATCTAGAATAGTCTCTGACACATAGTAAGTGCTGTGTAGGTGTTGTTTTAAAAAATATAAAATATTAAAACAACAGCAGTAATCAGAAAGCATGCTAAGATGCTGATAACTGATCCACTGAGAAATTATAGAAATTTCCCAGTTTGATGAGGGTGTAAAGCACTCTCATTAAGTGTTGGGAAGAATGTAATTTGGGTACAAGCTTTTCTATATCAGAATTATACATATATATGTACACACATTTCTAATTGCACTTTTAGTAGTTTATCTTGAGAAATACTCTGGCACAAGAACTATCTATAAAAATGTTTACTGAAGCATTCTTTGTAATAGTGGAAGAGTATAAAGCACTTAAAATACCTCAGTAGATGATTATTAAGTGGGTTATAGCAAGTACATCTACATTGTGGAATGCCATGTAGCCATTAAAGCTAATTTTGATCTGTATTTATCATCACAGAAGTATATCCACTATATATTATTCAGCAAAACGGCAGATTGCAAAAACACTTTATATAATCTTGAAGAAAGTGAAAGTCGTGTCTGACTTTTTGTGACTCCATGGTCTATACAGTCCTTGGAATTCTCCAGGCCAGAACACTGGAGTGGGTAGCCTTCCCCTTCTCCAGGGGATCTTCCCATCCCAGGATTGAACCAAGGTCTCCTGCATTGCAGGTGGATTCTTTACCAGCTAAGTCATAATCTTATGCATGTGAAAATTTTGCATCTAATCTACATGTAAACATTTGCATAAAGAGCTATCTAAATGTCACTAAAATGTTAGCAGTAGTTATTTCTAAGGAGTTGTGAATGATTTTACTCTTCTTATTTATACTTTATAAATTTCCCAAATTTTATTCTCTAAAAATATATTACTTTTACATGAGAAAAATGTTAATTTAAAGTTGGTAGTGGGAAAATAATCTTGTAGGTTCTTAGGGTAAGGGTCTCTCATATAAAAAAATATATATCTCTATATAGTGTTTACCAAACAATTAAAAAACAATCTTTTCTGAAACACCTGTGAAAATTATTAGAAATTTTTTTTCATGGAAAATTTTTAGTTACAAAACTCATAATAAAAGAAATCAATCCTTCCTATGTTGCCTCTACCCCAGAATCTTTACTACTAAAAGGCCTTACAATTTCTAATTACCTAAAAACTGAGATGAAATGTGAGAAAGTGACTAAGAGACCATAAAAATGGGTTTTGTTCTTGACTCAACTGTGAAAAAACATTAATAAACAGAAACAGAGCCAGCAGCCCAGAATTGGGAATTTTCCTGCCCTGGGGAGGACAGCAGAGCCCAACAGGAAGAAGAGAGGCTCCTCTTCATTCCTGGTAAGAACTTAGCCAGTGAAAAGTCATGGACTCTGTGTGTACTCTGGCTCTCTCAAATTCTTTCCTCTTCTATAAAAGCATTTTCCTTCCCTTGCCAGGTGGAGTCTTGCATATCGTTCACCATGGTTTCAGACCCCCAGATTGAAATTTTCTGCCAATCCTTTATGAACCTAATTTTTTATTTCTGGAGAAATAACTGGCAGCCTTGTTTTTTTTTTTTTTTTTTTTTTTTTAGGTCAACATAGTCATTGAATACTTTTCACCACTATTTTGCCCTTCAGTAAATTTCAAAGGAAATGACTAATAGAGTTACTTTTTAGATCTGTGGTTCAGATGATCATAGTGAAATAAAATGTTCATTGAATAGCTTATAAACTGGGATACCTTCTATAATTGTAAAGAGGTTAACAACACAAGAGGAGGTCAGGGATATGTTCCTGGACCAAGAAGCATCTAGACTGTAACTTGCAGGGACTCTAACCTTGGAAAGGAAGAGATTAATAGATGATCTAGCAATGCTGGACTCATCTTCTAACTCTCTTAATGAGCTTGGAATGTAGTGGATACTAAGTAGCTTTGCTGTTGTCATTGTTAAGTTGTTCAGTCCTGTCCGACTCTTTGTGACCCCATGGACTGCAGTACGCCAGGCTTCCCTGTCCTCCACCATCTCCCAGAATTTGCTCAAACTCACATCCATTGAGTTGGTGGTGCCACTTTGTACATATCATATTTTATTTTTTGAGAGAAAATCCACTGGCATCTGTGGTGATACAAAGAGGCTTTGAAACATATGGCTGGTAACAAATCACTTAGCCAAACAAATTAAGCTTCCTGGTAGACAAAGATTAAGTAACTGAAAACAGGAGTCAGCAAACTGTGGTCTATAGACCAAATCTACTCACTGACTACTTTTGTAAATAAAGTTTTATTGACATAGTCAGGCCCACTTGTTTACTTATTATCTACAGCTGCTTTTGCACTACAGTGGCAGAGTTGAATAGTTCCAACAGACACTATATGGCCTACAAAGGCAAAAACATTTACTGTCTGGGTCTTTAGAGAAAAAGTTTGCACACCAACTTTTTGTCTAGAATTTAGAAAAAGTCACAAACTTTTAAATTATTTCTGATTTTTTTGGACCTAATTTAACCTAGAGAACTCAGACAATGCCATAGATATTTCATCAAAGGAAAAAAAATTCAACTTCCTTTACTATCTTCATAAATGATGAAGAGTGTGCCAAGGAAGTAAAGAAGAGGTCCTTTGTTTCCAAAGTTGCCTGTAAAAGTCATAGAAGAGTAATAAAGCCAACACAAATGCCAAGATGATTTCATCCAGGCAACAACTTGAAAAGAAAGCAATATTCACAGCTTAGCAATCAAGATTATAAATGAGGAAAAAATAGAAAAGTACATGAAACAAGGCATACATTAATTCATATATCAAAAATTCTTCCTTTCCTGAGTTAGAACACTAAAGAAAAGAATTTGGGGGTTTGTGAAGCCATCTAGCAACCATCTTAGCCAAAGCATGCACAGCACTCCAAGTTAACACAGCATTGTCTTTTCAGGTATCAAAATGTCATCCTTCAGACACACCTGACTCTCAGAGAGAATTCTCTAGAAAAGAATACAGTGTGAGAGGCAGGGCAATCAATTACAAATACTGCAAAAGGAGTAGAAAATCCAAACAGTAGTTTTAGCATCCTTACTAACTAGGACACACAACCCTGAGAAAGAACAAAATGCTTTGAAACTTGGTTTCATTGTCTGAACACTGGAGTCCAATAGGGTTGCTGTGAGAATCAAAGAAGATGTCTGAAAGTGCTTTAAAACTGAAGCCAGCTATACAGGTTGATATGAAATGCCTACACACAATCACACTTTTACTCCTTCCCTCCCCGGCTGTGGTTTCTTTGGAACTGAGAGGCACAGTTTCAGGTTGTTCTCCTGTTGAAACGGGCTCATGTGTGGGCTCAGCTTGTTCCCACCTACATAAAATTCTACCCAAATAATGGGTAGAATCAGTCAAACTCAAGCCTGCAAGTGAGGCAGGAATTTTCTTATACAACTGGGCTTTTTAAAAAGTTGAGAATAATTTACTATAAGAACTATATATATATTCATCATTAAAAGTAAGAAGAGATATTAAAAATTAAAATATATCAATGTAATCACAACATCTAAAGATGACTGCTATACACTTTGATATATATACTTCCAGGTGATTTTCTATGCATTTTTAAAAAAAAGATCATAATGTTTTAGAATATGTGGCAATGAATGGTATAATATCGCTTTTAGTGGTTGAATGGCGCTATATAAAGTTTGATTGACCATACATGTTCAAAATTATTTGAAAGTGAAAGTGTTAGTCGCTCAGTCATGTCCAACTCTTTGCAACCCATGACTGTAGCCTGCCAGGCTCCTCTGTCCATGGAATTCTTCAGGCAAGAACACTGGAGTGGGTTGCCATTCCTTTCTCCAGAGCATCTTCCTGATCCAGGGACTGAATCCGGGTCTCCTACATTGCCAGTGGATTCTTTACTGTCTGAGCTACCAGGAAAGTTCCCATCTTTAAAAATATTATTTAGGACATATAAAAAAATGGATGGTGAAAAATATAGTTTGTGGAAAAGTTTTACAAATCATATTTCTGATGAGGGACTTGAATCCAGAATTTATTAAGAACTCTTACAATAGTAATAAAAGATAAATAACCCGATTTAAAAATGAGCAAAACATCTGAATAGTCATTTCC